GAGCAAAAACTTTAGAACTGAAAAGATCAACATTTTCGATAATTTTTTTGAACATAAGGTCTACTCGGTACTAAACTAAAACTCCTGATAAGTGATCCAGGCACAATGACCAAGTTGCATAATCACTCACCATAAACGATACTCGATAGCATGCGAACGCATAAGTATCGTATCTCACTAGGAAATGTACGAATTAACATACCATACCGGATCTCAAGTCAGCGGACATCACTGTTTTCTTGTTTCTCCTCTCGTCTCGCACCAGGAACCGAATATTGAAAATTGCTGTGTTGTGCTCCATATAGTCCACCGTTGCTTTGATCCTGCAAAGAGCGCACGTTACTTGTGCATACCTAAGCCTGGTTTGAAGGGAAGCGTGGAAGTGATGCTTGGTGCATGTGTTTTCCTAGACTGCATGTATGGAAAACCTGTGCCAGCTCTATCAGTTAATATTGGTGCATTTTAACGGCGAAGAATTCCACTTCTTCCTGAAGTAAGCTATTGGAAAGGGCCTGGCAGTGGAATTGCCTAGGCATACCACAGTTCGTGCCTTTAACCGATTTAACGGTTAAAAATCAAAAAAGTTACGCAAGAAGTTATTATTGGCAAGGTTTGAACATTTATTACATGCTTTATTGCATATATGCTTTATTGCGTATATGTACTTACTCATTCCTCAGGTCATAACAGCAAAAGTGAAAAGGCATAGCCATGCCCGGAACAGCTATTTATTGAATTAAAAACTGGATTTTATGAGAAGCGGAAATGCGAAGAGCAAGCATGTACATTTGTGTGATATTGGCCACTTTGATAGAAATTTTATCAGTGGTCGAGAGCACAGCGCATTCCGGGATTTCGAATATATTGCCATCGGTGCTGAACTGTAGCGCTTTTGCCACGCTGAGCTTCATCTGATTGAACAACGACATCGCTGCAACAGCTACATAGCAGTCAATCAGTGCAAAAACAGTTTTACGCTCATTTTTTCGTAAATCGAACCAGCTGTCTTGGTGCAACGTCTATTATTCACTGATCGTTGAGTCGTTCATTTTACAATATTTCCTCCAACAAAAACTTTTTATCAGTTTTTGTTTTCGTGCCCGATAAATTACGGTGAAAGTAAAGTAGTTCGCTGTCCTTTTTTCTAAGTTTTTCTTCGAAATAATGCTTATAAAAAGCAAATGATCAGTTGCATGAAATAAATATTACGAGTTTTCGCTACTAATTCTGCTATTTTGAAGTCCAAATAATACAAAAAAAGCCGGAATTTTTTCTCTACACTTCTTCCTCCGCTTCTTATTATTCAATAATCATTTCCTATTCCAGTCTTACCAAAATGAAAATAAGCTTATTTCCTACATGACAGGTGGGCGGCTCCAGCGACGATTCCTGCTCCCACTCTCGCCCACTATTCTGTCTCTGTTTATAGCAAAGCCATTAAAAACAGACTGCATATTGACCTGTCTTTTCTGTTATATCTCGAAATTTCAACTTTATCGATTTTATATTTCAAGATTTTTTGTCGCCTTTTTAGAAATCAGGTTTCCGAGCTTTAAATAATGCGAAACTAAAATTTCATGGATTTCATTCGACTTAAAAAAAACTTCCCCAGCGTTAAACGATGAGCAACGCAAGCATAATGTTTCTGTAGAAAAAAAAAAAGATGCATTTTTGGTCTTAATAGCGAGAAAAAAGCCAAATTGCTTAGCTCCATCGCAGTAACGCTACAAGCTTGCAAGAGGCAGGTATTACAGCGCGATAATTCTCCCAAATACTATAAGAATAGGGTAAAAATTCAAATAACGATAAGGGCACTTGTAGACTGAAATTTGCAATTCGAAAGCTTTCTTCGACAATCCACAACTGGTTTTTTGTGAAAGCGCTTGGAAATATGTTTTCAGCAGATTTGAAAGTTCTTGCTGATTACTATAAAATAGACTTAACCAGAGGGGCTTATTTAGGTGTACGCAGGATTTAGCTGAGATGTTTCGGAAATTTACTGTCGTTGTTTTCAAAATCTATTTCTGAGCGCTGTTTTAGAATCGAGAGTGGATTCATAAAAAGTTATACAAGCATCATTTCTGCCCCATCCTTGCCCAATCCACATCTCTTTGATG